TTAGGAAGACATGGTCTAAATAGGAAACCCAAGTTGTAATTAGAAAATCCCTTAAGACCTCAGAAAGATCTACTGTGGTATCTTAGAGTATCTTTCAATCAGACAGAAGGTCCTCTAAATATTTTAACAGTATGACTGACAAATCCTCTCAAACAATAGAGCATATATTGAAGAGATGTGTGGATGTGGCTTTTGTCTAATGGCATGAACTTCAGTGAGATTCACAGGGAACCAACATAGTCTTTAACAGCAGAAACACTGCCAGCAGGAACTGAAAGGGATACTATCTTTCATGAAAAAGGAAGGATGACTGGAAAGTCAGAACTGCCCACAAGGTGGCATCAAGAGCCATAGGGAATTATTTTCAGTCTTTGAATCTGGATCAAGGAACTTCAACATTTGCCTGGCTGGATTTTGGAATTGCTACAGACTCGTTGTTGCCTCTCATTTTTCCCTTTTTAAACAGGAATGTTTACAGCGGTTATTTTATGCCTGTCCACCGCTGTATTTTTGTGTGGGGGAGGAGTGGGAGGCAGATAACTTGCCTTTAGTTCACAGGTCTTCAGACTGAGAGGAACTGTACTTGAAGAACTTTAAGGAACTGCATCCAAGGAATCTCATCCACACCTGGATGTAATTTATATGCTAATATTCTAGATTTCAAGCTGCTTTTCTAAAGCGATGAGACTTTTGGGGCTCTTGGGAGAAAGGGAATGTGTTTTGCATGGAATAAATAGAAATAATTTGTGGTCAGAAAGTATACTCCTCCCTTCAAAAGGTGGAAGTTAATTCCCCTCCCCTTGAATGTGGGAAAAATAAAGACAAGGGAAAAATAACAGCAGGTACACATGTTAGGATTAGGATTCCATTTTGGGGGTATTTAGCACACAGTGCACCCAGGTGGAGAAACTTGATTCAGATTCTGATTAGACTAGTAGGTTGATGGTCTTTAATGAAGGTTTGATTTTACCCTATAGAAAGTAAAAATCCAGTGATGCATTATAAGCAATGGTGTTACGTATTTAGAAAGGTCCTCAGGGAAACCAGATACTATACAGATGAATTCAATGGTAACACATTTGCCGTAAATCCATAGCGGTCCACTTTTTTGTATTTCAGTCATCTGGGGAAACTTCATTTCAGTTCCATACTGTTTCAATTCCATGCGCTAGCTTTAATTAGCTGTGGTATCTTAAGCAAATCATTTAGTTCTTCGGGGCCCTGGAGCCTCAACATAGTCCTCTAAAACGGCGACAATAAAACCTACCTCTTAAGTTGTTTGGGGATAAAACAAGAGATTGATAATAATATGCCTGGCACCTTGCTGGTGAATAAGTTGCAGTGATTATTGCTTAGACCAATGGTGCTCAACAATATTTGGCAATATCTGGAGACATTTATGTTTTTTACCACTGAGGCTCAGGGGTTGGGGGTGGTGCTATTGATGACTAGTGAGTAGAGCCCAGATGCTACTAAACATCATATAATGCACAGGACAGTTCCCCAGAACAAAAAACTATCTGGCCAAAAATGTCACTACTGCTGAGGTTGAGAAACCCTGTTTTAAAATATAACCCAAGCTGGGTGTAGTGGTGTAGGCCTGTAGTCCTAACTGTTCAGGAGACTGAGACATGATTGCTTGAGCCCAAGTTCAAGTCCACCCTGAGTAACATAGTGAGACCCCATTTCTAAAAAATAAAATAGAACCCAACCATGAGTATGTTAATATTATTCCATATTATTTAAAAGGGTGCTGTAACACCCTTTTAAATAATGAGTCAGAGTTAATAATGGGGTGCAATAAAAAAGAGATCTGATACTTTCACAAGATTTCAGGGCTTGATGAATATAACTCCAAATCTTCCTGAAACCACCCTCCATCAACCTAATTCCTAAATGCCCACAGTCATTCCCACCAATAATTTATCTCTTCCTAGGCTTCTAGCCTTCAATTTCCTTGCATCTGAGATCTGCTCTTAAACTCTTCAGTGCCTTACTTCTAAGGACTATAATGTGGTAGCAGTGATGCATGTCACTTACAAGATTAAGCTGTATAAAGGCATTGTGGCTTCCTCTTTGCTGTCTCTCTTTCTCAGATCATTTGGTTGGGAGAAACCAGCTGCTATATTGTGGGTATGGCAAGTAACTCAGGCTTTCAGCCAGTAGCCAGCAAGAAACTGAGATCTGTTGCCAACAGCCATGCAAGTTAACTTAGAAGTAGATACTTCGGCACCAGCCAAGCCTAGAGAAAAAAACCTTAAGACAACTGCAACTTCATGAGATAATCTAATCCAGAATCACCCAGCTAAGACTCCTAAATTCCTGAACCACAGAACTGTGAGATATTTATCTTATTACTTATCTGTTGTTGTTTTAATCTCCTAAATCTTGGAGTAATTTGTGACACAGCAATAGATAGCTAGTATGTAATGTGAAGTTGTAATTAAGTATGTAGTAATTGCAACAAGGTAAATTGATGATTGAATCTTGGAAACATTATGCCGTGCTTCCATTGATAGTAAAAAGTGGCAGTGAGGATGGATACTGCAAATTATATTTGTCTTAATTATAAGAAGAGGGGAGAATAGTGTGCCACTGAAGTTTGCTTTTATGGAAGAATTTTAAACATGCACCATGTAGGGGTGGAAAGATGTGATACCTTTCCTCATCCATCATGAGTCATGGCTGACACTTGTATAACAAAAGAGCAGATTAACACAAGGAAAGCATAACAGATTTATTTAACCAGTTTTACGTGACGTGGGAGCCTTCAGAAACGAAGACTCAAAGACCCAGGAAAAGTTGCCTATTTTGATGTTTAGGTTTGATGCAGAGCAGACAGGTAGAAATGCAATTGGGCAAAAAGGATATGACCAACCCAACAGTAATAGAGAGGAGAAACCTGGCAAGACATGTCTGTTCAAATTCTTCTTGGCCTCTGTGTGTGGTATTCCTTCCTCCAGGATATGGTGCCACTCCAGAACAAAAGTCTTGAGAGCCTCTATCAGACAAGGTAGGTCCGAGAACCTATTTATGGCCGGCTCCTACAGAAAGGTATGGCAAGATTAGAGTAATATTTCTAGATTTTATGACTGGCTTTGAGGGCAAAGGGGCTCTAGTTTCTTTTTTCTTTCTGAGACAGAGTCTTGCTCTGTCACCCAGGCTGGAGTGCAATGGTGCATCTTGGCTCACTGCAGCCTCTACCTCCCAGGTTCAAGTGATTCTTGTGCCTCAGCCACCCAAGTAGCTGGGATTACCGGCGTGTGCCACCACTTCCAACTAATTTTTGTATTTTTAGTAGAGATGAGGTTTTGCCATGTTGGCCAGGCTGGTCTCAAACATCTGGCCTTAAGTGATCCACCTGCCTTGGCCTCCCAAAGTGCTGGGATTACAGGTGTGAGCCACCGTGCCCAGCAGTGGCTCTAGTTTCTCTGACCCATTTTGAGAAAGAGGAATTCTAGTTTCTATGGCTTGCTGTGGGGAAGAAAGGGGAGCAGGAGAAAGAAAGGCAGGAGAAGGTCAGAAAGATCTGACCCTCTTTTCTTCAGTTCCAACATGCCAGAGTGCCACACTTTGGGGTCTCATTTTCTGAGGCCCAATAATCATTACATTTCTTTTCTTTTTTTTTTCTGAGATGGAGTCTTGCTCTTATTGCACAGGCTGGAGTGCAGTGGCGTGATCTCAGCTCACTGAAACCTCCACCTTCCGGTTTCAAGCGATTCTCCTGCCTCAGGCTCCTGAGTAGCTGAGATTATAGGTGCCTGCCACCACACCCAACTAATTTTTGTATTTTTAATAGAGACGGGGTTTCACCATGTTGGCCAGGCTGGTCTCGAACTCCTGAACTTGTGATCCACCCACCTTCACCTCCCAAAGTGCTGGTATTTCAGGTGTCAGCCTCCGCACCCGGCCTAATCATTCCTTTTTTTTTTTTTTTTTTGAAGTCTTTCCTTAAAGCTCTTCCACCCTCATTTTCAGAATACTTACTAGAGCAGATCTGTGGCTTTGGTCAGCCTAGCGTTTTTTCCTTCTAGTAAGAGAACACCTCTTCTCCCTTTGGCATGGCCAGTCAGTGTTGGTCATGTGACTTCACTGGCTCTTTCTTAGGGATGGGTTATGATATCAAACTAGTCAGTTGGGATCCTTTATCGGGATCGACACAGATAAGCCAAGAGTTCTCTCAGGATTTCTTGGGCATGCTCTGCCCCAAGGAGTTCTGACGGGAAGGCTTTATTGACTACAGCTGAAATGCCATTACAGAAAAGCCTCAACCTAGGAGCAAATAAACTCAGCTCTCATCAGTTATCTGGTGGTTGAGCTGAGAGGAGAAAAGTGCTCCCCAAGCTTGGCTTCTCCAGCTTCACCAAAGCCAGGGACCTAAAGGAGAGCGCCAGTGTCGCCAGCGTGAGCGGGCGGCGACCTGGTGCCGGGCTGGCATCCCCAGCCTGTGCACTGGGCACTTTTCTTTTTCTTTCTTTTTTATTTTATTTTTTTATTTTTATTTTTATTTTTTTTTTGAGACGGAGTCTTGCTCTGTCACCCAGGCTGGAGTGCAGTGGCGCGATCTCGGCTCACTGCAATCTCCGCCTTCCGGGTTCAAGAGATTTTCCTGCCTCAGCCTCCCGAGTAGCTGGACTACAGGCACCCGCCATCATACTCGGCTAATTTTTGTATTTTTGTAGAGACGAAGTTTCACCATGTTGCCCAGGCTGGTCTTGAACTCCTGACCTCAGGTGATCCGCCCGCCTCGTTCTCCCAAAGTGCTGGGACTACAGGCGTGAGCCGCCACGTCCGGCCAGCACCGGGCATTTTTCTTACTTTAGCCATCCCGTGTTTGAGGTTGCTGTCTGGGCTCTGCTCCTACCCGAGGGCAGCCCGGAGGAAATTCTCGAGGTGGCCTGGGCAGGGCGGGCTGGGCGAGGGCGCGCCCGGGGCCTGGAGGCGGAGTCGGGGGCGGGGCGCGCCGTCATCTGACTCGGTGACTCACCCGCGGCCGCGCTTCCTCTGACCTGGCCGGGCGGAAAGTCGGATCCCGAGGCTTCAGCTCGGAAAGCAGCCGAGCGACCATGGAGCTGTGCGGGCTGGGGCTGCCCCGGCCGCCCATGCTGCTGGCGCTGCTGTTGGCGACGCTGCTGGCGGCGATGTTGGCGCTGCTGACTCAGGTGGCGCTCGTGGTGCAGGTGGCGGAGGCGACTCGGGCCCCGGGCGTCTCGGCCGCGCGGGGGCCGGCGCTGTGGCCCCTGCCGCTCTCGGTGAAGATGACCCCGAACCTGCTTCATCTTGCCCCGGAGAACTTCTACATCAGCCACAGCCCCAATTCCACGGCGGGCCCCTCCTGCACCCTGCTGGAGGAAGCGTTTCGGCGGTGAGGGCTCCCGGCCGGGAAGTGTCCTGGGGGAGGGGAGGTGGACCACCCCGGGGCGCTCTGCAGACCCTCACCACCCCACTGCGCAGACGAGGAAACGGCCCCCGGAGCGGGCAGGCGATCTGCCCAGCGCCACACGGACTGAACCCACGCTCTTGCCCCCACCCTCCTACTGCTTCTTAAGGGACACCTTGGGTGCTCAGGAACCCTAGTTTGAGAGCAGGATACTAAGTGGAAGAGGGAGTTTGCTCTGAGGCCTTGTTGGGCAAATGACATGGATGGAGGGGACACCCGGTTCCCCAGCTCCAGAGCTGGGGAGGAAAGTGACAGCTCCTTATTTGAAGGACGTTCAAAGGGATAAGTTACCTGAAGGGCTTAGACAAGCTCTCTTGAGGGACCAGGAATTCCCCAAAGCTGACTGTCATTTATAGGCCAATTTCACCCTCTTGCCTCTCCTCAAATCTCCTGGTAATAATTCAAATGGCGGAAGTCCTCAGTTTCGAGCACTGCCTAAAACTCCCCTCTCACTTAAAATCTCTTCCACATAAAATGTGAGATGTTTGCATCTAACTACGTTTCTGCAGCCAGTGGTTAGACAGTATCCAACTTTGTTTCTCAACACCAATCATGTGCCTGCTCTCCCTGCTTCCTCTTTTACAGAGCCCTAGATAGCGCCTCTGTCTCCCTCACCCTTTGGCTGCGGACAGGGTGAAATTTGTCATGGGAGTCAGCCAATCACACAGTAGACAAGACAGTTTCCCCTGGGGAGATGTTTGAAGAAGCCACACACTGTCCCTTCAGTGTGAGACTTGTGTAGGTAGGACTGTCCTGAAGGCGTATCGTGCCCCGCAGAACTGTAATTTGGTGCTAACTGTACTGCCTCCTGGCATTCCCCAAGCCTGTCGCTGTGCCCAGTAGATACTATAGAGCTTAAGTGTGCTTGCAGGACACTGAACAGGTGGGGAGGAAATGCAAAACTAACTGAATAACGTGTTCTGACCCCAGATAGGACAGGTGCCTAGGCTCAAGCTGAAGAGGCCTGAGATGTTGATGGCAGAGATGGTTCATTCTCTACAATCAGAAGGCTCACGGTTTCCTTCTGTTTTGTACAACTAAATGGGTATTATCAGTCCCTATTTTAGGCACACACACTAATGAGCCTTTGGTATCCAATCTGCTAAGGCCAGAGGGGGGTTAAGATGTAGAATCAAAGTGTTTGGTTGCATTGGGATATTCAGAAAGATTGCCTGGAAAGTACACGAAGGTTGTCTCAGAAGATCACGACTAGGGTTGGAAATCTTTTAAAAACAAACACCCTTATTATGTTTGCCTTGGAGTTCAGCTTGTAGAATTGGATTTTCCTTCTGTGTCATACTGCTAAGTAAAACAAGGACTTGGTAATACGCTGAACTGACGATGACAAGAAAGCATAGGTGATGTAAGTTAACAATAGGTAAATAACCAGGACTTGAATCAGCTGAGATGATTTGAAGGCAAGGCTTGGCATTTCAAGGCAGGTGCGGGTGACTGCCTGAAGAGTTTGCCTAATTCATGGCCTCTGAGTGGAGCAGCCATTAATTATGCCTGGCGTTATTAGGAAGCAGGTCATAAAATGTATTAGCCCTTATGGCTAAGACGTGAAGGCATGCATGTGAGCATTCTAGGAGCTCAGCACGGGCGGTAGCTATCTCAGAGTAAAAGCACAGTGGAGTTAGAAAGATTTGGAAATATGGGGTGTTCAGAAAGTGTGACGTGGTCAGGAACACACAGCCGGGGCCCCAGATTGTTCAGAATCACATAGCCCCTGTCTCTGAAGAGCCCAAGTTGTATCACAAACCCTGCTTTGAAACAGTATGTTTTTTGCAGGCAGAGAGTTCAGCTGTTAGGTGCATAGCTGCTTCTTCAGCTTCTAGGACAGCGTCCATCACATGCTAGTCACTCATTTTAAAAAATAAACAAATAGCTTCACTCCTTCATTTCCTGGAAGGCTAAACTAACCCACATACCTTTGACATACTGCTTCACAGCCCTTTGAGTTTTCTGTTAGAATTTTACTACCTAGGGTTAAGGTTCTAAGCCAGTTTCCAACTCTGATCTCGAAGCTGTTGGCAGCTTTAATTTCCTTTTTTAAAAAAATTTTAAGTATGGAAAAAATATAAAATTTACCATCTTAACCTTTTGTAAGTATGTATTTCAGTGATCTTAATTTCCTTTTTAATCTGTCAAGGTTTTCTGTCAACACCTTCATCCATTCCATTCTCTCATTGGTTAACTTCCATACACTCCCAAACATGTCACAATTTTCCAACCTCCTCTTCTGCGAAAAAGCGTAAGATGTTCTTACACATAAGTAGCATATATAACCTTCTGGCTTGCCAAAATCTGTAAAATATTTAAACAATTGTCCTGAAGCTTATCTGATCTTTTTTATTTAGTGCCTTTACATTTTTATTTAATATTCTGATTTTTGGATACCAAAAACAATTGCTCTGAAGCCTATCTGATCTTTTTTATTTAATATTCCCTGGTTTTTGGATACCAACAAAAGGTACTTTTTTTTTTTTTTTGGAGACAGAGTCTTACTCTGTCACCCAGGCTGGAGTGCAGTGGTGTGATCTCGGCTCACTGCAACCTCTGCCTCCCAGGTTCAAGTGATTCTCCTGCCTAAGCCTCCCAAGTAGCTGGGATTACAGGTGCCTGCCACCATACCCGCTGATTTTTTTGTATTTTTAGTAGAGATGGGGTTTCACCGAGTTGGCCAGGCTGGTCTTGAACTCCTGACCTCATGATCCTCCCACCTCGGCCTCCCAAAGTGCTGGGATTACAGGCGTGAGCCACCATGCCTCACCAACAAAAAGTTAATTTTAAAGGCTCTGGTGAGAATTCTGGACCTTCTTTTGGGGGTTTATATATAAGCTAGGATACTTTTGCAGGAAGGTAACAGGAACCCTGACTCAATCTGGCTTAAACAATAAGAAAACTTATTTCACACATTAGGATGTCCAAAAGTAGGAATGTATTTAGGTCAAGTTGACTAAGTGACTCAACAGTGTTACCAGGGATCCATATTCTTTCCATTTCTGCTCTGTCCACTTTAGTGTAGCAGCAACTGGTCCAGCTCTCACAGAGAAACAAAGTTTTCTTGTGATTTGCTCGGAAGAACTCCCCCTAACCCCCACATCCTATCACTGGGCAGAATTGGTTTTTCATTCCCAAGAGTGATGGATTACCATGATGGTTTCATTATTGGTTATTAACAGGGGCTTCATATGTCACTTCGGAGTGTGGGGAAGCTTTTGAAATTCCCATGCCTGAATCCCATTCTCATAGATTCTGATTCGGAAGGCGTGGACATTAGCATTTTCGAAAAACTTCCCAAGTGATTCTAATGTACAACTTGGGGTGAGAATCTCTAGTTGGACTTATAATGGGCAGCGTGGATTTGAGGCGTTAACTGCAATGTTACTAGCACATCCATTTTTAAAATTTGGCTAAAATCCTTTTAAAATGTGTTTACATTTATTTCTCAAACAGATATCATAGCTATATTTTTGGTTTCTACAAGTGGGATCATGAACCTGCTAAATCCCAGGCTACAGCCCAGCTTCAGCAACTTCTTGTCTCAATCACCCTGCAGTCAGAGTGTGACGCTTTCCCCAACATATCTTCAGATGAGTCTTGTAAGTACCTCTGCAATGTGAGTGTATTATAGCCCAGGTGCTCACTGACGGACTTCAGTGCCAAAAACTGGCTCCATGTTAGGAACCACTGTGAGTTCTCAACCAGTGAGTTTATGATTCCTATTTTAAAAATAACCTTTAAAGTCTGATTATAAAAGTAGTACATAGCCTTTGTGGAAAATTTGTAAGTACAGTAAGTGCAGAAGAAGAAGAAATAAATCACTCATAGTCCCAGCAGACAGAATTAATCACTGTCATTTTAGGTGTATTTTTTTTTTCCCAGAGTAAAACATATAAACATTTTACATAGACATAAATACAAACATGATAAGCATTGAGATGAAAATGGCAGTAATTCTGTACATGTGCTTCTTGTATTTTTGTTATATTTTTGTATCATGCTTTTTTGCAAAATACATTATAAACATGAATTTCACTAGTTTTCTGTGACATCATTTTCAATGGCTGAATAATGTTCTGTCACTGTATGGATAAGCTGAATTGGCTAATCTCTTTTGAACATCTAGGTAATTTCTTAACTTTTGTCTTTGAAAACATCTGTTTGTATCCATTATCTCTATTTATAATCTATAATTTTACAAAAGATAATGCAGAGCTTGGGGGAGAGGGTGGGTACAGCAGTTTCATTTGATTGACAATATAATCGACATTTAGCTGTATGATTTTGTCCTTGTTGTTACCTAAAACATTATTCTCTAGGGCTTTTCCCAAATTGTTTTAGAACAAACAAGTGGACGTGCCTTTTCTATAGGGTATACTGCCTGAGAATAATGTGGAATTGCACCAAGGCATCAAAGAAGAGCAGTATAAGGACATGTGTAATATAAGATTCGTGCAAGAGACAGCAGACAGGGGAACTGAGTGTAAAGATAGAGGCCGGGCGCTGTAGCTCACACCTGTAATCCCAGCACTTTGGGAGGCCGAGGTGAGTGGATCACTTGAGGCCAGGAGTTCGAGACCAGCCTGGCCAATATGGTGAACCGCATCTCTACTAAAAAATACAAAAAGTCAAAGGTGTTGGTGCACACCTGTAATCCCAGCTACTCGGGAGGCTGAGGCAGGAGAATCACTTGAACCCAGGAGGCAGAGGTTGCAGTGAGCCGAGATCATGCCGCTGTACTCCAGCCTGGGGGACAAAGTGAGACTGTCTCAAAAAAAAAAAAAAAAAAAGATAGGATGCCACAAATTTAGAGCAAAGAGCAACTCCGTTACCCCCAGACTGCCTCACAGTTAAGTACATGTCTTCATCCTGCTGGTTTAGATGAGATTTCTCAATAATACATCTCTTTGAAAAACAGCTTGCTTTCTCTTCAATTCTGTAGCTCTTCTTAGAAAAGAAATAGGAAAATTCACCAACGTCAGGTATCATTTCAGTTGATACTCAGCACTGACACCACATGAAGTAGGATTTGCAACCTGAATTGAGATGAAAATGGTCATTACATTGCCAAGGAATCTTTGCTGTCCTTTGGCAATACAGATAACAGATTGTAAATTCCACAAAATGAAGTTTCGAGACTGGAGAGTCATAGCTTATCTTTCAGTCAGTTCTACAAACCCGCTTTATTCTGAAAGGGAAGTTTCTTGAGACAAGGTGATTGTGAAATTTTTGGCTGAAGAATAAACTAGTTTTTAGTCTTTAAACTAGTTGATGATGATGATAAAAGTAACATTCTTATGAATGGAAATAAGATATCAAACATCCAGAGTGGGAGGACATGTTGGAGGAGGTGACAATGTTAAAGCACCACTATTTATTAAAAATAAAAATATGCATGCCCTGAGAAGTGGACTAGTTTTTACTGCAGATAAATGGACACATAAATCAAGGATGTTTGATTCTGTTTCCCTGTAATGTGAAGAATTGTCAACAAAACTCAATATCCATCAATAGAGGAATGGCTGAATGCATCTTGTCAATCTTTACTCAATAGTATGATCACAACAGTTAAGAATAAAGAAGCAGTATTACAGAGAACACACATGGAGAACTGCCAAGTTAAACTGCTGAGCTGAACAAAGGAAGCTGTATAATTATGTGTAGGGGTGGACCCCATTTATATATCAACACACACGTAAAGCAATACTATTCTCCTTCCATGTATATCTATGTCAAGCCTAAGAAAGGCCCGATAAGTATTTCCTCTGAGGAAGGTAGAAGGAGTTGGGTGAGTATCTCAAAGGAGATTTTAGCCTTATCTATAATGTATTGTTTTTAAACAGAATATATAGATACGTTATTTGTATATTCACCCTCCAAAACAAATGTATTTATGGTGCAAAAAGATACAGAATGGGCTAACTGAAAAGTCAGTGATATCATTCCTTTCACACTTCAGGGAAGTAATCATTGTTAACACTAATAACTTGGTTGTGAAGTAAAAATGGAAATTCTGTAGCTATGTGTTCATATATTTAGAAAACCAAATTTCTAATTGTTATATGCATTTTCCACTGAGTTGAATTAGTCCTTTTTAATATCAGCCAGTTGTCAGCTATTAGAAAATAATTGGTATTAAGTATATGTAATATATTAATGTTTTTGAGGTGACTGTCTATTTCTGGAAGATCTCAAAACTAGAATGTGGCAAAAAAAAAAAGTTTTTAAACAGTGACCAATGGAGCAGTGAGCTCTAGGTAGCTGATTAAGAATTTGATACAGGTGGGGTGAAGTGGCTGACACCTGTAATCCCAATACTTTGGGAGGCTGGGGCCAGTAGATGGCTTGAGCCCAGGAGTTCAAGACCAGCCTGGCAACATGGCAAAACCTCGTCTCTACAAGAAAAAAGAAAAATTAGGCATGGTGACACATGCCTACAGTCCCAGCTACTTGGGAGGTCGAGGCTGCAGTGAACCGTGATCATGCCACTCCACACCTGCCTGGGCAGCACAGTGAGACTGTCTCAACAACAACCCAAGAATTTGCTATAGATGTAGAGGAAACATAATTAGACTATGCTCATAAATACCAATATAGTTCTTAGCCTGGCACTGGCTGACTCATCTAATGGAATGTGGTTATCTAATGGAAAAGGCTATCTTGTCAGAAGACTGTCACCTGAGATGCTCGCACTATTGATAGAGCACTTTTGCCTACCTGCAGCTAACTATTCTGTGAGCATCTGAATGGTGGTGGTGGTAGAAGGTGATAAACCAGCATAGAGGACACAGTATTAAATCATTAACCTCCAGCCCTTAAGCATCTTTGCTGTGGCAAAGTCCACAGCTGTTACACCCTTTAGCTTTCAATCTCTTTACCATCTGTGGGTTTACTATGTCTGGTTGATTCCACTCCAGACCTCTCTAAAAGACTAAGTGACTATTGGGCCAACCTTAGAATGTGTTTCAAAGATTGAAAGATTAGCCTCTCACCAGAAGCAGCTAACTGGAGTCCCATTCTGGATGATGTGAACTTTTAATTGAGTGGGACAAAGCTAAACTAAGCTAAAGGGATTTGGAGAGTAAGTCTTAAGGCAGGTTTGGATGATACTGAGGGAAGGTGGGTGCAGGGCAAGTAGAAAATTCTGAAGGCAAAAGAGTGGAGATAACTCTCTGGCCTCAAAGGGAATAGATTTGAGTGACACCTAGGACGTTACCAAGGATTAGTAGGAACTGAGGAATTTTTGCATTTTCAACTAAACTCTTAGCTTAACTAAGACCCTACTCTGTTGAGAAGTTGGAGAGACTAACTCTCTTGGGAAGATGAAGAAACATGGAGATGACACCCAAATTCCGGTCTTGAGTGACTCAAGTGACTGGATGGTGGTGCTGTGACTCACTGAAATGAGGAACAGAGAAGACCAACAGGTTGAGGTGTGCGGAGGAGGGAGGGAAGAGTTCTGTTGCGGCATGTGGAGTTGAAGGAATCCACAGGACATCCAAATGGAGATGTACAGGAGGCAGTTAGAGAAACAGGTCATGTGCTTGGGAGAAAATAATAGTCCAGAAATATCAGTGACATGTTTAGGAAACTTATTGTGTGTCATTGAGGGATTAACAAAAGTATGTGTGTGATTTTAAATCCCCAATACAGATACTCTACTTGTGAAAGAACCAGTGGCTGTCCTTAAGGCCAACAGAGTTTGGGGAGCATTACGAGGTAAGTTCCGTGCAGTTTCACCGTTACTTTCCAGTAAAGGAAAATTTTCAGTTGGTGCTTTGTGAGATCAAGCACAGCAAACCTTTGCTGCCTTGGATCCTTTACAGAATGCTTGGTTATGTAGTTCCAAAATTATTTCCATTGAACATATACTTCGTAAAGCATGGGAGAGGTTGGCACAGTGGCTCACACCACTTTGAGTCAGCACTTTGAGAGGCTGAGGTGGGTGATGATTGCCTGAGCTCAGGAGTCTGAGACCAGCTTGGGCAACATGGCGCAACCGCATCACTACAAAATACACAAATTAGCCGGGCATAGTGGTGTGGACCTGTAGTCCCAGCTACTCTGAACGCTGAGGTGGGAGGATTGCTTGAGCCCAGGACGTTGAGGCTGCAGTGAGCCTAGATCACACCACTGCATTCCAGCCTGGGCAACAGAGCAAGACCCCTGTCTCAAAAAAATACAAGTAAATAAATATAGCATGGGAGAAAAGTCATTTGACCTCTCAAAAACTATTTGAAGGTTATTACATTCCTACAGTGCTGTAATTCACTGATGCTCTTGGGACTGTAATGTTTATAGCACTACACATGGCCCCAACCTGTTCTGATGAGGGAATTTTGTTTCAGCTATCGCTTCTGTTGACTTCAGAAGCAAGCATCTCTCTTCCCTAATTTCAAATTCCTGTGGATTTAGAAGCATAACTAAATTTGTATAAGGAGCAGTATAAAAAGGCAAATGTGCTATTGAGTTGGTTAGAGGCAGTGGGCAGGGAGTAACTTGAAAAGCTTTTCCTGAGAATTTCAGGGTCTGAACTTCAAAGTTTGACATCAGGACATTTGCTGTTCAAAAGTTTCTTTTACCTTTCTAGGCAGATAAGATACTGTACTGACTTCCAAATAGAGTTTTTAGAAAGGGAATTTTAAAAAATATGAACTAACCAAATTTATAGTCATTAAAATAAAGGCTTGGGGCCGTAGTCATTCACACCTGTAATCCCACCACTTTGGGAGGTCCAGGCAGGCAGATCACTTAAGGTCAGGAGTTCGAGACCAGACTAGAGATGGTGAAACCCCATCTCTACTAAAAATACAAAAAAAAAATTAGCCCAGCATAGTGGCGCGTGACTGTAATCCCAACCATGTGGGAGGGTGAGGCAGGAGAATTGCTTGAACCAGGGAGAGGGAGCTTGCAGTGAGCTGAGCTGGCACCACTGCATTCCAGCCTGGGCGACAGAGCGAGACTCCGTCTCAAAAAAAAAACAAAATAAATAAACATTTGGAATTTGACTCAGAGTGTTACCTAAAATAATCATTGTTATGCTATATATTTTTATACCATAAGATTATAATTTTATTCAAAATAGAATATGAAAATATCTAGAGATTTACCACAAATGTAATTTTATTTATGTATAATGTTAGTGATTTTAAGCTTTTTAAGTTTTTTTTAGTCCGATCTGCCTGTCTTGTCTGCGTCTGCTAAGGAGAAGAGACACTTACTGATGTTTGTTCTGATCCATACCAAAATAAAGAACTCTAGCAAGGCTGGGCACGGTGGCTCACGCCTCCAGTCCCAACAGTTTTGGAGGCCGAGGTGGGTGGATCACTTGAGGTCAGGAGTTGGAGACCAGCCTAGTGAACACAGTGAAACCCCATCTCTACTAAAAATACAAAAATTAGCCAGGCGTGATGGTGCATGCTTGTAGTCCTAGCTACGTAGGAGGCTGGGGCAGGAGAAGTACTTGAACCCGGGAGGCGGAGGTTGCAATAAGCTGAGATCACGCCGCTGCACTCTGTCCTGGGTGACAGAGTGAGACTGCATCTCAAAAAAAAAACCAAAACAACAACAAAAAACCAGTCTTGCGAGTATGCAGTGGCTAGATTTCTAGTCCAAGAAGTCCGTATTTTCTGTTTACCATCAGACTTTCAGAGTAGTGTACTCTAAACTGATCATTATTGAATGTAGTGTCACTTAACAGAAATTTTCAAAGTTATTCTTCCCAGCATGAACCTGTACTTGACGAGGTTGGGGAGAGAGGAAGGCATAGGAAAGATGACTGTACTGTTCTTAGGATATAAATTCCCTGGCTATATAGCTGTCAGCTAGAATGAGGAATCTGAATCAAGTCAAGGCCATTTAGAAGAATTAGCCTGTCAACTGGTATATTCAGGGAATAATCCACTTGAGTAAAAAATGTTCAGAAGTTAGTCTTTGCAGCTATAAGTAAAACGCTGTATATTGTAAATTGGCCTTTATTTATAGTTTTCATCGTTTTTCCAGCCATTTTTCCCTGTTACATTTAGGTACCTTCTAAAAGTGACTATATTTGATTATAAAAATTCTCTCATAATGCTATAAATTTATTAAGAAACTGGTATTTTATTAAATTACTATTCTTCTTTTGTGTATATTGAAACAAACCCCAGGGTATGGGTACAATGAAGTAAAGCACTTTTATTAGATGAGTAGAGAAGTGCAATGGATTTTTTTTTTTTTAATTTGGCTTTGATTTTAGAAATTATGGTAGAGGCTGTAGGTGTAGGTATAACAATATATTTTAGAGGATACAGGTATAACACTATATTTAATTATATTTGCCTTACCTGGTTATGAGTCTGGTTGAATAATATAGCTTTTATCATCTCAATTTGTTTATAAATTAATGCAATAAATTTTACTTTCCTCAGGTTTAGAGACCTTTAGCCAGTTAGTTTATCAAGATTCTTGTGGGACTGTAAGTATGATTATTATGTTACTAAAAATTGTTAAACAAATTACTAATAGAAAAAAATGTAACCTGTTTAGCTGTTGTTTCCTGAAGGTTTCTTTCCCCCAGATATTTATCTTAACTGGTAAATGTAAATTTCATACTTTTTATTGTTCTAAATTAATATTTTATGAAATGCTTGTATAAGTAGCTGTAGTCTTCACTGAGTTCAAGACAACAGAAAATTCTAAAACTAAACCAAAATTTTGTTTTGTCTTATAGTTCACCATCAATGAATCCACCATTATTGATTCTCCAAGGTTTCCTCACAGAGGAATTTTGATTGATACATCCAGACACTATCTGCCAGTTAAGATTATTCTTAAAACTCTGGTAAGTAAGTACTTCATTCTAATCCATCATCTATTCTGAAGGTGTCTCCTTGGTGTTGTAACTTTACGTTGGTTACTATTGGTAGGTTGGAACGGGGGAATTTGTATAAGCACCGGACATTCTTTCCTCAGTCCCTAGTATATTTCCTCAGCTGTGATGTGGAGGTCCCCTTGAGAGTCACCCTCCTGTTTTCAGTGCAAGAGCCATGTATAACATGTATTTAGCCAAGACTGTAAAGAGAAAGTTTAAACACTGCCCATTGGCCCTTTACATATACTCCTTTTTGTCAAATCATGTGTCTAGACTTTTGGTTAGGAATACATGGCCACCCAGGTGCGGTGGCTCACACTTGTAATCCCAGCACTTTGGGAGGCCGAGGCAGGTGGATCACCTGAGGTCAGGAGTTCAAGACCAGCCTGGCCAACGTGGCAAAACCCCGTCTCTACTAAAAATACAAAAATTAGGCGTAGTAGTGTGTGCCTGTAATCCCAGCTACAAGGGAGGCTGAGACAGGAGAATTGCTTGAACCCTCCCAGGGTGGAGGCTGCAGTGAGCCGAGATCGCACCACTGCGCTCCAGCCTAAGCAACAGAGCAAGACTCCATCTCAAAAAAAAAAAAAGAAAGAAAACATGGCCACCATACTTCTAGTTAGTGCCCTTTAAATTTTGTGACCTCCTCTTACTTTTTTTGTAAGTGGCATTAGAAAGGAGTCCAGGTGCTGCTTTATACCTAGGGAACTATTCCAAAGGAATACGGAACCTCCAGGGTGGTATGGGTTAGGAAGAAGGTTGACAATAACTGTTTTCTCCTATGGGCTTTTTTTTTATTGGTTAATCCCCACCATCACCTGCCAATTTGTAGGGGTGGGGAGGTTTCCTCCCATGTTTTTTTGCACCTTCACCTGATCATTTATGATGACACTATGCTATATGCTATTTTAAAATTGTTATTTTTTTTTAGTTGAAGTCCCAGTCTCTCGTCAGGTTGGAGGGCAGTGGTGCGATCTTGGCTCACCGCAACCTCCGCCTCCCAGATTCAAGCAATTCTCCTGCCTCGGCCTCCCAAGTAGTTAAGATTACCGGTGTGTTGCCACCACACCCCGCTAATTTTTGTGTTTTCAGTAGAGATGGGGTTTCACCATGTTGGCCAGGATGGTCTTGATCTCTTGACCTTGTGATCCACCTGCCTCACCCTCCCAAAGTGCTGGGATTACAGGCATGAGCCACCACGCCCGGCCTAAAAATTATTTTTACATTCACATTATACTCTGCAATTTTTCTCCAAAAGACACTCTTGTCACTTTTAAGAAATAAATGCTTAGTGTAAAAAGTTTAAACAATATAAATATGCAAAAATAGGCAGGCATCCCATAATTTCATTTGCCAAAAAAACATACATTTTTATGTCCTACTTATCTCATTTTAGACTTAAAAAATGAATATATTAGGCAGGGTGCAGTGGCTCACGCCTGTAATCTCAGCACTTTGGGAGGTGGAGGCAGGAGGATCATTTGAGGTCAGGAGTTCGAGACCAGCCTGACCACCATGGTGAAACCTGTCTCTACTAAAAATACAAAAAATTAGCCAGGCGTGGTGGTGCACACCTGTAATTCCAGCTACTTGGGAGGCTGAGGCACAAAAATCACTTGAACCTGGGAGAGGGAGGTTGGAGTGAGCCAAGATTACACCACTGCACTCCAGCCTGGGTGACCGAACGAGACTCCATCTCAAAACAAACAAAATGAATATATTAACATATACAATGTGACTTTTTAAAAAACTTAAATTAGACCATACTTTTGCTACCCCTCACACCTCCCCCCCCTTTTTTTTTTGTGAGACGGAGTCTTGCTCTGTTACCCAGGCTGAAGTGCAGTGGCACAATCTTGGCTCACTGCAACCTCCGCCTCCCGAGTTCAAGTGATTCTCTTACCTCTGCCTCCCAAGTAGCTGGGATTACAGGCGCCCGCCACCACACCTGGCTAATTTTTGTGTTTTTAGTAGAGATGGGATTTCATCATGTTGGTCAGGCTGATCTTGAACTCCTGACTTCAAGTGATCTGCCTGCCTTGGCCTTGCAAAGTGATGGGATTACAGATGTGAGCCACCGCACCTGGCCTTTGCCACCCTTTTAACAGTTGAATATTTCACTTTTTTTAAACTAGTCTCATGCTGATGGACATCTAAGTTAATTTATTATCAGTGCTACTGCAGAGTTTTTACACATACATATTTGTACACTTGTCAAGATTATTTCTTGAGGATAAATTCTTAGAAGTGGATTTCCAGGCTTAAGATGTATATATTTTAATTTTTGGTACATTTTAACTTTTGGTATATACTGTCAGGCTGCCTTCTAGACAGGTCGGTCATAGCCACATATGCTTGGCCAACAGTGTGGTACATCTTTGCCACGTTTGTTGCTGATCTAATGATAAAATATATCTCCTTGTTTTAATAGTGAATATACTTCCTTGCTTTTTAGTGAATATAAGCCTTTTTTTTTTTTTTACATATTAGTTATTTGTATATTTTATATTATAAACTGTAAGTTTCTTTTTCTTTTTTCTTTCTTTTTTTTTTTTTTGAGACAGTCTTGCTCTGTGATCCAGACTGGAGTGCAGTGGCCCGATCTTGGCTCACTGTAATCTGCCTCCTGGGTTCAAATGATTCTCGAACCTTAGCCTCCTGAGTAACTGGGATTACAGGCATGCACCACCACCGGCCAATTTTTTGTATTTTTAGTAGAGACAGGGTTTCGCCATGTTGCCCAGGCTGGTCTCAAACTCCTGAGCTCAGGCAGTCTGCCCACCTTGGCCTCTCGAAGTGCTAGGATTACAGGCATGAGCCACTGTCCCCAGCTGTATGTTTGTTTTCTATGTTTACTTTGTCATCTTTGAAGATAAGATTCAGTTATGCCTTTTTGGCAGGAATAAAGCAGAAAGGATGCTGTGTTCTTCTCAGTGCATATCAGGTGACACCATGTCTTATTTATTTCATATCTGGTATTGTTCACTTATAACTTGACTAAGATGTCATCTGCCAGGTTTTTCCACTGTGATGTCAATTAAAAGCGTTTCATACTTAACAAGTAATTAAGTATCTTGTGGGAAGAGATCTTGAGACCGTGTAAAATCCCATTCTTCAGCCAGCATTCACTCACTAGTTTTAGCATCCACAGATAGTTCTTGCCTAAATCAGTTATTACTAAGGTAGCTACCCAGTGGTGATGTTTCTAATTCCATCATTCCTTCTATCATTTATTACTTGGCATTTAAGTGTAAGGTAGAGCAATCCCTTCTCTTTTATTTAATTATTCATTATTTTTATCAGTGTTGACTCATGAGTTACTATGTTATTCAGGATTGTAATCTGTTACTTTCCCTGTTTTTTGTTTGTTTGTTTGTTTGTTTTTTGTTTTTCTGAGATGGAGTTTTGCTCTTGTTGCCCAGGCTAGAGTGCAATGGCGCGGGCTCAGCTCACTGCAACCTCTGCCTCCCAGGTTCAAGTGATTCTCCTGCCTCAGCCTCCTGAGTAGCTGGGGTTACAGGCATCCACCACCACGCCCCGCTAATTTTTGTATTTGTAGTAGAGACGGGGTTTCACCATGTTGGCCAGGCTGGTCTCGAACTCCTGACTTCAGGTGATCCACCTGCCTTGGCCCCCCAAAGTGCTGGAATTACGGGCGTGAGCCACCGTGCCCGGCCACTTTCCCTGTTTAATAGTCAAATTATCTCAGCTTTGGTCACTGGAAGTCCTTCAAGTTGCCTCTTATATCCCTTGCAGGTTCCCTTTAATCTTGGAGCACTTTCTTTCTTTTTGGCACATGATGTTCCAGGCCTGTCTTCCCTGTCCCAGTCTTTTCTGTGTCCTCAGACTTTTCTTCAGGGAACCCTTTTAGTGGTGAACAACATTTTGAAACCAGTATCTAGGCTCTAGGTGTGCTCATTGCTACTAGGGTGTCACTGTAGACCCTCTGAGCAGAGACAGCTAGAAAACGTGTGTACCTATGTATGTATACATTTATATGAACATACATCTTTCCCAATTTTTTATCTGTTTATATCAGGAGTTGGCAAACTGTAACCCAAAGGTCAAATCCAGTTCACTATCTATTTTCACAAACATGGGGTTTTGGTCTCGCTGTCACCCCCAGGCTGGAGTGCAGAGGTATGAGCTCAGCTTACTGCAGTCTCAACCTCCCAGGCTCAAGCAATCCTCCCACCTCAGCCTCCAGAATGGGTGGGACTACGGGCATGTGTCACGATGCCCGCCTAATTTCTTAAAAATGTTTTAGTAGAGATGAGGTCTCACTATGTCATGCAGGCTGGTCTCAAACTCCTGGGTCCAAGCAATCTTCCTGCCTCAGCCTCCCAAAGTACTGGGATTACAGGTGTGAGCCACCATGTCTGGCCTCACAAATAAAGTTTACAGGAATATAGCCACATACATTTGTTTACATATTGTCTCACTCTACAATTGCAGAATGGAGTAGGTGTAACAAACTCTCTGGCTTGCAAAGCCAAAATATTTACTGTCTAGCCCTTTATGTAAAATGTTTGCCAACCCCTAGTCTATGTTAAAAACCATGAGTTTGTATTAATAAGCTCAATTCCAATTAACACCTCTATTTCTAGCACCCTTCTCTGAGAGTGAAGATCCTCCTTTAATCCTCAATATATTTATCTGCACAATCCCCTTTTATGTAAAAGATTTCCTAACTCCATCAGCCAAATCCCTTCAGCCTTGATGAAGAGGGAGTCTTTAAGTTTTGATGATCTTGTTGGACAAATCTTCTCCCTTATTATTTTTCATCTTTTAAAAGTAGTGTTTATGTTTTATATAAATATTATATTGGTTATTCCTCTAGAGTATACATAAAATTAATAACTCAATTCACCCAAAAATTTCTCTGGGAGAATTGTATTGAGTTTGCAATGAAATTCTTGGTTGGGACTCCAATTTCAGAACTGTGGGAATTATAAGTCCTGGTACGTAAATGAATGCCCCATTTTCCCTTTGCTCTATTCCCAAACACAGTGGCAGCCAAGAACCATTTTGCATTCTTGGCAGTCCCCTACATACTTGGAATTTATAAGCTTGCTCTCCTCCCATAGAGCAAAGTTACAACTCACAGTCTAGAATAAATACATCTCCAGAGGCTTTTTGTATACTGACGTGTCATGTGAAGTATGTATGATGAAGAATTTCTATTTCTTCTCATTCTTTCTTCGCTGAAAAATAAATTTTAGCCAAATCCCAGCACTTTGGATGGCTTGAGCCCAGGAGTTCCAGACCAGCCTGGGCAACATGGCAAAACCCTGTTTCTACAAAATATACAAAAATTACCTGGGCATGGTGGTGGGCGCCTGTAGTCCCAGCTACTCAAGAGGCTGAAGTGGGAGGATCACTTGAGACTGGGAGGTCAAGGCTGCAGTGAGCCAAGATCGTGCCACTGTACTCCAGCCTGGATAACAGAGTGAGACCCTGTCTCAAAAAAAAAAAAAAAAAAAAAAAATTATTTTTAAAGGAAGCAGACATATTGGAAGCAATTCCAAATGTAGATAGGTAATATGGATTGTATATGATACCTGCAGTATATAATTTTTAAATATGTTTGCTTGCAGGATGCCATGGCTTTTAATAAGTTTAATGTTCTTCACTGGCACATAGTCGATGACCAGTCTTTCCCATATCAGAGCATCGCATTTCCTGAGTTAAGCAATAAAGTGAGTAAATTATATTGTACTCTGTCTACAAAAACGCTGGGTATAGTTTCATTACAAGTTTGTAACTTAAATGTTTGTTCTTATGGATAGAATCAAAGTGTAAAAATCAGATGTTTATGGTTTTTAATTTTTTTTTGGGTGTGACTTAGCATTTTACATCCATAAAACTTTTTTGTTACTGTTATAACTGTTACTGTAATTGTTATTGTGAATATAAACCATCTCTGGGGAAGTATAAATCGAAATTTAACACCTTAAGGTAGAAGCCCTGAATAATTCTCAAATTCCATATGGTTAAGATAATATGTTTATCAAGTTGTCCAACAGTGTATTTGTTTTAAACATAATTGTTTGGAAATCCATAAATGACTGTTTTTCTCTGAGAAACTACATGAAGTAGGGAATTTTAGAGGTGAGAGTGTTTTCTTAGAAAATAATGGTAGTCTCAGTTAACAGTGTTCAAATTGACTGTATTACGGACCAGTGGAGCTGGGAGGGACCCTCAGTGTCCCCTAGTTTAATATCCCTGTAATACAAAGAAGGTACCTGACATTCAGAGAAGTGATGCGCCTTGTCTAAAGTTGTGGTTAGGAAGGGACAGAGCCAGGACTCTAAATTCTGTCCTCTGGCCATAATTCCAAAATGTTCTCCAATGTTATGTATGTAGACTAAAATGTGCTAACAGCACTTATGTTTTTGTTTCCTTTTGTTTTACTTTTTATTATGGCAAATTTCAAACATATACAGATATAGAATAGTTTAATGAATTCCCATGTTCTGATCACACAGGTTCAAACATGAATACATGGTCAATCTTGTATCACTTAAACTCCTGCAGACAAGCCCTGCCCCATCCTGTTGTTTTGAATAAAATCCATCATCATATCTCACTGTCAAAAGGCCCGTTCTTTAAGAAAAAATAACCATAATACATGATTGCAGCTAAAAAATTAACAGTAATCTAGACAGCCAATCAGTGTTCACATTTCTCCAAGTGTCTTTTCCTCTTATTTAAAAAATTATTTTAAAAAATTTGCAGTAGGATACAAATAAGCTCCATAATTGTGGTGAGTTAATATGTCTAGTAATTCTCTTTTGATCTATGGGTCCCCTCTTCCCACCTTTTTCTCCTGTAATTTGTTGTTGAAGAAACTGAGTCGTGTGTCCTACAGTTTCCCACAGTCTGGGTTTTGCTGATAGCACCCCATAGTGTCAATTAACATGTCCCTGTGTTTACTATAAACTGGTAGTTAAATCTAGTCTTGATAGAAATTTGATATGCGGTGCTGGGAGACAAGACTACTTTTCTGCCATTGAGCACTTATAGCCCATAGTTTGAGAAATGTGCTAAGGAACAGCTTTGATAGAACTTTAGTTACAATATTGAGTTCTAATTTTTCAAGTGACCTATAAAGGGACTGAGGTAATCATTAAAAACCAAGTCACTTATTACAGAGTCTATATGGGAATTTTTCAAGCTGATAGTAATTCAAGCTGATAGTCCTTTGCAGGACAATAGCTATGCTTTGTAATAAGGTGTACATTTTGACTCTAAAATTGACAAGAGCAGTGTTTTCAGAAGTCTCACTTTGGAGACATTTGTTTTGTTGTATGCCTACGTGGAAGTTGAAACAGCATGATAGTAGACACTCTTGAAACAGGAGGCACTGATGGAGACAGATATTTCTACCAGTAAATCTGGGATTAGCTCAAAGTATACTGAGTATTTATTGCTAAAATATGGTAAACAAATGATTTGACAAAAGCCCCAAAACGGCTATCATCCTTTGAGTATGTGTGACTTAGTAGAAATTTTCTTTCTGAAATTTCCTACTCCTGAAACTATGGCCCTATATTATTTTTAAATGAGTCCTCTAATATCACATTAAACTAATATGTGAAAAAATTCGCTGTCAGATATCAAATGCAAGCACAATTGTTATAGTGAAAAAATTCATAGTGAAAAAATTCGCTGTCAGATATCAAATGCAAGCACAATTTTTAATTTCCAGGATCAAATCTACATTGTACATTTTAACTTGAATAAATATGACTTTTACAGGGAAGCTATTCTTTGTCTCATGTTTATACACCAAATGATGTCCGCATGGTGATTGAATATGCCAGATTACGAGGAATTCGAGTCCTGCCAGAATTTGATACCCCTGGGCATACACTATCTTGGGGAAAAGGTAAGGAGTTGTGTTTTATTTTATCTTATTTTTTATTTTTTGAGATGGAGTCTTGCTCTGTCACCCAGGCTGGAGTGCAGTGGTACAATCTTGGCTCACTGCAACCTCCACCTCCCAGGATCAAGCAATTTTCCTGCCTCAGCCTCCTGAGTACCTGGACTACAGGCATGCGCCACCATGCCCAGCTAATTTTTGTTTTTGTTTTGTTTTTTGAGACGGAGTCTCGCTCCGTTGCCCAGGCTGGAGTGCAGTGGCGTGATCTTGGCTCACCGCAACCTCTGCCTCCCAGGTTCAAGCGATTCTCCTGCCTCAGCCTCCTGAGTAGCTGGGACTACAGGCGCCCGCCACCACGCTAATTTTTTGTATTTTTAGTAGAGACCATTTTAGCCAGGATGGTCTTGATCTCCTGACTTCATGATCGGCTCGCCTCGGCCTACCAAAGTGTTGGGATTATAGGCGTAAGCCACTGCGCCTGGCCAGGAGTTGTATTTTATAAGTTGCAAAAGTAAATATTTGAGGTACTGCATTTATTTTATGACCTAGTGTTTGCTCATTTTGTTCTTAATTGTGATTGGTCTATCAGTAACGCTATTGACAGATACAATTCAGTAACTACTATGTGTCTACTGTGAGCAAATCATTGTGATTAGGTACGGCCTAAAGTATAAAAAAGGGAATAAAAGAAAACAAAAAGTGATTACAAAAGGTAGAACATAAGTGAATTCACGAAATGGTTTCATAGATGAGGTGACACTTAAAATGCTTTTGAGTGATCACAGAATATATTCACGTTTCTGGTAGAGGAAATGGCATAAGGAAAGGCGTGCAAAAAGTGTAAGATATGCTTGACAGGTATGTAGCTGGAGTAGAGTGTAGCAGAGTAGGAGGCATTATAGGGTGATGATTAGAACTTTGGCTTTGGAGCCAGACAGCTTGGGTTTGAATCTTGCTTCTGCCATTATAAACTAGGTGACGTTGGGCAAGTTACAATATCTCATCTTCAGTTTCTCCATCTCTAAAATGAGAATTAGTAGTAGCTATCATGTAATTTTTTTGAGAATTAAATAATGTAAAGCACATAGCACAGTACCAACATTTATAATTGCTCAATATTATTAGAGTAGACATGGGGAATACTGAGAGGTAAATCTGGAAGAGTACATTAGAGGGTCTTTGGTGAGGAATGTGAACTTCATCAGGACACACTGGAAACCAGTGAACATTTCTGAGCAGAGGAGTAACATGATGGGAACCACACTTTTGGAAAACCTTTGGGAAAGTGACAGATTGGAGTTCTGGACCAGGAAGGTGATAGTGGGAATGGAAAATAATGGACAGAACTGAGAGACATTCTGGAACTATCCATGGAACTTGGCAACTGATGCACTCCAGGAGAGAGAAGAGGTATATACTCTAGGATGATGATGGTACCCTTGCTAGAATACGAAAATCAGAAGCTAGAGAAAGGGAGCTTAGGGACTGCAGATGTTGTGTTTTGTTAGCTTGTATTTGAAGTACAGTTAGGATTTCCAGTTGTATCCAGCATGGAATTTGAAATATGAATTGAAGCTCAAGAAAAAGGGTTGAGGCAAACTGAAGATTTAGGAGTTAACATTTGACATAGATAAAATCTCAGATATAATGGGAAACAAAGAGGCAAAGAGAACAGGATTCAGGAAACATTTCCTTCTTATTTGGAAGAAATTACTAGCTCTTAGTAAACATGCTCATCTTTTGTGTATATAATGTAGCTTCAATAAAATGACATAATAAAATCATGTGGAAAACCAGATCTTTATAATGAGTTCACTTCTTTTAAAAAGAATCTTAATAATAATTTCTTCTAGGTCAGAAAGACCTCCTGACTCCGTGTTACAGTAGACAAAACAAGTTGGACTCTTTTGGACCTATAAACCCTACTCTGAATACAACATACAGCTTCCTTACTACATTTTTCAAAGAAATTAGTGAGGTGTTTCCAGATCAATTCATTCATTTGGGAGGAGATGAAGTGGAATTTAAATGTTGGTAAGATGATTCCTTAAAACCTCTTTAAAAAAAAAAAAAAAAGAGGCTGGGTGCGGTGGCTCACGCCTGTAATCCCAGCACTTTGGGAGGCCGAGGTGGGAGGATCATGAGGTCAGGAGTTCAAGACCAGCCTGGCCAACACAGTGAAACCCAGTCTCTACTAAAAATACAAAAATTAGCTGGGCTTGGTGGCAGGTACCTGTAATCCCAGCTACTCAGGAGGCTGAGGCAGGAGAATATCTCGAACCCGGGAGGAAGATATTGCAGTGAGCTGAGATCATGCCACTATACTCCAGACTGGGTGACAGAATGAGACTCCATCTCAAAAAAAAAAAAAAGAATAAAAAACCTGTTGCATTGAAGTAGCTGTAGAGGGCTCCACACCGTAAGGAAGACTTAAGAGTAACATGCCTGCTTGGGCAACATGACTCCTGAGATGGTAGATTTTTGTAGAATGTACATTTGGGTGGTATGGCAAAGTAAAGCTTAAGGAAAAACAAGATGCAGAAGAAAATGGAGATTCAAAAAAAGACTACTGTGAAATGAGAACAACTTTAGTGAAAGAGGGCAATCGATGATTAAATAGGAAAGATTTTTCAAATAAAAATTCTCTCTGCAAATAGCTTTAAATGGAGGAGAAAGGTGGTAAGGTAAAGAAAGCCATTTTTACAGGAAGTCAGCTTCTTGAAAAAACTGTTTGCAATGGATAATTAAGATAACTTGTAATTAAGTTTTTAGGCTTCTTTTTACTACCTACAAACTTTAATAGTTTTAAGTCTGCACAACTGATATTAAGGATATATACTACTTTAAATAATAAAGTGAGCATATCAAACTTCTAATGAAATTTTAATCACTTTTTGCTGTAGGGAATCAAATCCAAAAATTCAAGATTTCATGAAGCAAAAGGGCTTTGGCAAAGATTTTAAAAAACTAGAATCTTTCTACATTCAAAAGTAAGTTGTTTGAAAGCCTATTTCTGTTTTTATTAAAGCTTTTTGTAAAAGTTTATTTAGTAATGTGCTTTATTTTTATATTTTCTCTACATCCTTTGCCTAAGTGTAGATGTGAAAAATCACTAAAGCAGTACCTACTGCTTGTTTTAAATAAGTAACATGGTGACTCCAAGTATTTTCCAATACCTGTTGAAATATAGGAAGGCAGTCATCTGTTCTAAAAATTCAGCTTGGGCTGGGCATGATGACTCACGCCTGTAATCCCAGCACTTTGGGGGGCCAAGGCAGGCAGATCACCGGAGGCCAGGAGTGTGAGACCAGCCTGGCCAACATGGTGAAACCCCATCTCTACTAAAAATACAAAAATCAGCCAGGCGTGGTGGTGGGTGCCTGTAATCCCAGCTACTTGGGAGGCTGAGAGAGAATCTCCTGGGAGGCGGAGGTTGCAGTGAGCCAAGATCACACCACTGCACTCTATACTTCAGCCTGGGCAACAGAGTGAGACTCTGTTTCAATCAATCAATCAATCAATAAAACTCAGCTTGAAGCCCTGGCTACCCTGTGAAGTCTTCACTACCATCCAGCCCCTGGAATTCATTCCATTTTGTCAATTCCAGGAGCATTTATTTTACTATATAGCTGTGCTACCCAGTATAGTAGCCATAGCCACAGGTGTCTGTCCATATGTAAATTAATTAAAATTAATGAAAGTTAAAAATTCAGCTACTCAGTTGCATTAGCCACATGTCAAGTGTTCAGTAGCCAGCTGAGGCTAGTGACTGCCATACTGAGAAGTGCATATATATACATTTCCATCCCAGGAAGTTTTACTAGACCATGCTGCTCTCTACAGGGATTGGCAAACTTTTTCTGTAAAGGGCCAGAGAGTAAAGATTTTAGGCTTCATGGGCCACGTACAATTTTCTTTTAACTTAAAAAAAAAAAAAAAAAAACTCAAATTTTAAAACTTAAAAAAAAAATGCTTTACAAATATAAAAACCATTCTTAGCCCATAAGACATACAAAAACAGCCTGCAAGCTGTAGTTGCCAACCCTTATGCCGTACCATTTATTTGGCAAGCCCAGGTTCCAGCCTTTGCCTATTCAGCTTTTTGTGTGATGCATTTAAATTTTATTTATCTGCAAAGCACCTGGCATTGTCTAAATATCTGTAAATATTTGTGGACTGATTGTCAGCAACTTTTACATGTAATTTATGTGATATGACAGGCTAGATCATGGTCCCTATCATTTTAAGACAGCCATAAAATTTTAAGAGATTGCTGCTTATACAATTTCCTGAGTTGCCTACCAACTCAATTTGAGGCCACTTCTTAGGGGTATGTTTAACTCATTCATTCAGCAAATAATTACTAAACCCCCAAACTACGTTAGGTTCTATATCATGTGCTAAAAAGGGGGAACTACTTGTGACACTTCCCAACTTTAGCTGCTTCTGCTATAAAGCTGTATTATACAGAAAGGCACCTCTCAAAATGCAAGAAATCCTTGATAGAAAAATACATGTTTTAAACATATTGTTAAGCTTGTGATCTAAAATAACTATAATTTTTTTGTAATACTAGGGTTTTGGATATTATTGCAACCATAAACAAGGGATCCATTGTCTGGCAGGAGGTTTTTGATGATAAAGTGAAGGTGAGCATTGTGAAGACTGCATCTGATCAATGTAAGAGAATTATTTTTCTTGGGGCAACTGGGAATTTGCAAGTCTAACTACTAGTATTACCTTTCCAGTGTGGTTATAACGTGACCACTTTGGACCTCATAGTTCCAAGGTAAGTTTGGTAGAAATGAGACTAAAATGCAAGTCTCAGCCTTAGTTAACTGAACCTAAGTGGTATCCATATATAAGCAAAAGTTAAATATCCAAACTTAAGGTTGATGAAACTTTTCATTTTAAGTCCCTAAAATGAATATCACATGGCACTAACTCTGAAGGGGAAAAAGGAAGTGCAGATTTTTTTTAAGGATCTTAGAAAATTATGTTCCTAGTAATAATGCCTTAAACTTTCAATTTCAACTACTATGTTCTACGCCTAATAATATGTATTGCAATTTGTAACGTTAATAGCTTGCGCCGGGCACAATAGTTGAAGTATGGAAAGACAACGCGTATCCTGAGGAACTCAGCAAAGTCACAGCATCTGGCTTCCCCGTAATCCTTTCTGCTCCTTGGTACTTAGATTTGATTAGTTATGGACAAGATTGGAGGAAATACTATAAAGTGGAACCTCTTGATTTTGGTGGTAAGTGAAGCAGTTGGTCCAAGTGTTGTGAGTTACTGTGAAGCTGATGGTAAGTGAAACAACCATTGTTACCTTTATGAGTTTTCTTCCCTAACCTCCCACCCCAGAAATCCTTACCTAGATATCACCTACCACCTACCTATCTTTTATGTTTGATCCTTGATTTTATGTACTTTTTTTTAAGCTCAGTATCATTTTAAACTCTCAAGAAACCATATAGTTGCCTAAATTCAAGAACTTCGAAAGTCTTATAGATCCCCCTAGATTTTATCTCCATTTTCAATGATGACTCCTCACTCTCTACATTCTAAAGCTATTTGATTGCATTAACCTTATATGCCCTCTTCTGAACTGCTTCTCCAATGTAAGACACCTAACCAAAGCTACAGTTTTAGTTCAGTGGATTTCAGGCTGTGTTGTCTTAGGATTCTGAGGAGTAGAATCCTTGGTGGATGGGACATCTGAAGGGTGGAGCTTCAGGCTTTCAGATCCCCTTCCTAAAGAACACTCTACTTTGTCCAATTTTGTACATCAACCTTTAGTACAAAATCCTTGAAAAAGGATTTTGGTATTTAAAAACGTTTCAGAACCATAGGTCTTATTAATTGGTAATTTTATATGCAATGAATTTTATGAGGATCAAAAAGTGTTAATTACTGATTTTTAAAAAGCATTAAGTGGCTGGGTGCAGTGGCTTACGCCTGTAATCCCAGCACTTTGGGAGGCTGAGGCAGGTGGATCATGAGGCCAGGAGTTCAAGACCAGCCTGGCCAAGATGGTGAAACTCCATCTCTACTAAAATTACAAAAATTAGCCGGGCGTTGGGGTGGGTACGTGTAATCCCTGCTACTCGGGAAGCGGAGGCAGAGAATTGCTTGAACCCAGGAGGTTGCAGTGAGCCAAGATTGCGCCACCACACTCCAGCCTGGGTGACCAAGCGAGACTCCATCTCAAAAAAAAAAAAAAAAAAAAATTAAGTATTCAATTTTTGTTTTAAATGCCAAGAGGTAGAAATTAAAGGCAGGAATGGTCACAGTCCACTAAAAAACCAGTATTCCAACTTATGTTCCCTGGCACACTACTAAATAGATAACCAGGGATTTGAAAAATGGTTTCCGGTGTCCAGATAAGTTTGCATACAACCAAAATAAAACTGTTTAATACTGGCCCACTACGTTAATCTATGGGGCTAACACACACTGTGAACCATGGGTCAGGGCTGGGAATAAAGTTTGCAACCATTATTTTTTGGGAGGGGGAAGAGGGGCCACCTTTTTTGTGCCACAACCATTAACATCTCCCAAGGTCTTGCTGACCACAGGAGAGAAATGTTGCCCTAGGATAAAGACAGAGGAAACAAATCTTGATGAAGAAATTAATATTGCCTCTGTGCACAAGCTTTGAGCTTCTGAACTTATATCAATTCAATGATTTTAATTTAGGTACTCGGGAACAGAAACAACTTTTCATTGGTGGAGAAGCTTGTCTATGGGGAGAATATGTGGATGCAACTAACCTCACTCCGAGATTATGGTATGGGATTTACATGATAACATTTGAGTTAAGAATTAAGGTGCCTTAGCTTTCCTTCTCCATCTAAACACAAAAGTACTAAACATAAACTGCTTGGGGGGATGTGTGGTTTAAATTTTAGGCCTCGGGCAAGTGCTGTTGGTGAGAGACTCTGGAGCTCCAAAGATGTCAGAGATATGGATGGCGCCTATGACAGACTGACAAGGCACCGCTGCAGGATGGTCGAGTAAGAAATATTTGTTTCTCAAGCTAGGATACTATTAAGTCCAGTGTGATTTTTAGCCTTCCTATTCAGTGTTAGCTAGTTTCTTTTGCTATAAATAGAAATGTGTGTTACCTAAGAAATAATAATTAGAAGAAACCAGGAATTATTTTTTTGTAGGTAATAATACCTGTAAAGAAGATATACTCAGACTTACAACTGTTTTATAGATACAAAAAATTTTGGTGTAACTTCGAACTCCATCTTGAGTTGCTTTAATTTTCTTCCCTTATTTTCAGTAATGCTGTGATTTAGTGATTCTAATGTAAATTTCTAAGATGACATAAACGATACCCAAAATATCTTTATTCATGTTATCTATCTACAGACGTGGAATAGCTGCACAACCTCTTTATGCTGGATATTGTAACCATGAGAACGTGTAAAAATGAAAGGGAAAAAAGCACAGCAATCTGTACTACAGTCAACTTTATTTTGAAATCATGTAAATCAACAAGATATTAAGACTTTTTTGAATAAAATATTTTTATTGATTGGACCTTTGACCCTCTTATTTCTTATTACATATAGAGGCCTGGCATCTTTCTTGAGATAAGCTTAAAGACACAAAAGAAACACAACTTCGTGATAGCACTCTTCCGAAGAGTTGAGTGTTTGCTACTAATAGTAATAACTTCATAGATGAACAGCATGATTCAGGTACAGTGGCTTTAAACATCAAAGCATATTTCTCATTAAATTAAAACGGGTGGCTCCAGCGCCACTATCAAAGCTTAAGTTATATCTTTTATCTAGTTCTCTGAATGTACTGAAACAGTACTTTATTTGTGCAATAAAAATTCTCTCAAAAACTAAAACATTTAGGTCAAACCACTTCTCCGGTTGAGCAGTGTATTTTGATCTTGAGAATTCATGGCTTGATAAGTAGATAGTTCTAAGGCAAAAGTAGCTGAGCCTGATGTTAGCGTTCGAAGCACAGTTGAATAACCCTAAGCAAAATAATTTAGGTCATTTATATTATCAAATTTAAGCCTCAGGTTTCTCTTCCTGCTGATTATCTTTTGACTATTAGGGAAAAGTGATGTTGCCACTTATGTGGCTTAGCCATATCACTTCCTTCAAACAGATCATTTAACTTTTTTCAGGGTAAGTTAGATATAAAAATATCGAGGACAGAAAGCAGAGTAGTGCAAGTATGCTACAGATGTATTCATTAGATGGCTGTGCCCTTCCTACTACTCTGCTGGCAACCCAGGTGCCTGTCCTGGAGCAGAAGAGGCTGATAGGGGAGAAGAATGATAACTTGCCTTAAAACTGACAATGGTAGAAGTAAGATAAATGCTTGGCAGGGAAAAAATGATCATGTAGACTGGCACCACATTTTGGTACAGCACATCTCAAGCTTTGTAGGACTACAAATACCCCCTTGTAATGGTAGAATCCCTGGATTTCCCAACAATTTAAATTCAAAGTCCTAACCATTCCTGCTGGTTGAAACGTAACATTTATTCCCTAAATCAAAGCCTTAATGTTCCTTTCAGGTTATTGATTGTCTATTCACTGGCATATTATAACCCCTGAATTAAGAAGAATATGTACTTTTCCGTTACAAAGTACTTACCATAATATCTGCTAAGGGAACAAATCCAATAACAACTTTGTTGTCCTGGCGAGTCTGAATTTCCTGAATGTTTCCTCTTCTTTGTGCCAGATCTGCCAGGACAGGGCTGAGATAATCTCTAGCTACTGTAACCTCAAGATTCATCAGAGGCTCCAAAACTTGCTTATCAGCTTTCTTCAGAGCCTAAAGAAATTAAAGAATGTTAACTTATCTTTCATAAATAAATACTGCCCATACTCTTAAGCCTAGAGCTCATACAAAAAGACATAAGCTTGTTTTAACTCTCTCTTTAAAGGTAACATTTTATAAGACGTCAACAACTACAATATTTGCTGGTATAATAAGCATGGTAACATAATTTATAGATCTTTTGTATAGTATGATGCAAGGAGGGGTGTTTAGTAAAGTCTGATTATAAAAAATGACTGTGAACATGTGGTCAGAGTCACAGAAGTCCTCTCAAAGATTCATTTGTTCATATTTAAACCTCATGTTGCTGTTCCTGATGTCCATAATTACAGTCCATGCCATGCCACAGACAGCAATAAAGGGGAGAGCTTGGAAAAATGTAATGCAATAAGGTAATAGAAACATTATGTGAAATCTTTTATTTAGAATCTTAGATTTCAAAGGCCAAGAAGAACACGCATATAAAGACTGTGGAAACTGAAAATGCCTTTCAGAATAATGGAATTGAAAAAGATGTAAAAATTAAGAGAAAAAACTGCTACAATAAAGAAAAGGATTGAATTCTGTGTATCTAGGGCATACCATGGTCACAGAACTGTTCTTAGTCCTCTTTTCATAATTTTTCCCTGGCAATATTACCTATCTGGAGAGCTTCAAAAACACCTTCCACATGGCTTCCTCAAAAGCTTTAAATCCTATGCAGCCCATAGTTTCTGAGTATTCCAGTCTTGTACTCCATTGGCCTGCTTTGGGATAGTGTCTGAGTATCTACAGCTCTCCAACATGTCCCACACTGAGCTCATCATTTTATTTTCCAAACACTTCTAAACACATCCCTTTTTCTTATGATGACATCAGTAGTCTTCAGTTCACCTTTGACTTCCTTTTCCCCAAGTAAGCTGTAAGATTTTTTTTTCCGCTGTTCCTATTGCTGGTATCCTATGTCAAACTTAGTCCATTTCCTGTCCTCAACTATCTCTTCCCTATTCGAATTCCTTCTGTACTTTGATACTTCTCCCTTCGAAACCTTTAAATTATGCTCCACTATTCTCAAAGTTCAAACTCTTTAATGTAGTTTTTAAAGATTTCTCTACAGTCTGACACTATTTTACTTTTTCAACACACGGACTCCCCTGCCTTCATCTGATAATACAGTTAAAAGGACTCTTATCTCTGTCTGGAAGGTCCCCCACCGTGCCCAAGTCCTCCAAAATCATCTCAGCTCAAATATAAATCTTTCCAAGAATCCTCCCCAATTCCCTGCTTCCTACTTTCATGGCATTTGCCCATTTTATCTAATACTTTGGTTATACTTAATTCCCTTACGAAATCACAAGCTCCTTTAGGTAGAGTAAAATCTAATCCTATTTGTGTCCTTCTCAGTGCCTGGTGAACTATAAGCACAACACAGATGACTCAATAAATACATGAAGCACTTACAAGCAGAGAGAAGGAGACTCCCCATTACAAGAAGCTTAACAAGGGTAGCAGTACTTCCATTAGGAGTATTTTGTTTGAAGTAATGAATTAAAACTAAAGACTAAATGTAAGCCCCCATAAAGTTAATTCTTGTTCTCTGGTATAATCTTATTAAAAAGGTGAATGAACACAGAAATACAGACTTTATTTTTAGAAGACATGTTACACTTTGAAGGACAGGCCGATATATTGGGGGCTTGGGGTCAATTTAGAAACATTATTTTTCAGATTCCCATAAACTTTAAAAATTACTTGGGGACAGACAATGATGGTGGCTTACACCTGTAATCCTAGCACTTTGGGTTTCGAAGGCTGAGGTGGGCAGATTGCTTGAGCCCAGGAGTTCAAGACCAGCATGGGAAACATAGTGAGGCCTTGTCTCTTAAAAAAAAAAAAAAAAATCACTTGAGGGTGAATTTTCTCAATAATATAGTCATAACTACTTTGCAGGTAACATTTCTAACTATTAAGTGAACAACACTTAAACTTTTTTCAAAGCTTTGTTTTTAATCAAAAAGCTATTTAAGAAGTATAAATTTAAACTCATGTGAATGAGATATTAAGTTTGGCTTTCTTAAGTCAGGGGCTTGGGATACTTAAATTAACTTTGTAATTATAGATTCAAGTACAATTACAGAAAATTGGGTCTCAATCACAGTCCACGTATTAGAAAATGGCTATAAAAGCAAGCATAAATAATGCAAAATCAATCACCTAAAAAATTAGGGTAGTTCAATGCTGAGAGGAATGTATGGAATCAGCATTCAGCATACCACACTCCTGGGAGTTAATCCAGTTCTGGTAGGTTAATGAGGCAGGAAGTGGAGAGTCCATGACACTTAAGGACAAACTCCCCAGATAACCATACCAAGAAGACCACATTGCTTGATGCTTTGAGAAGAGAAGGTGCTTAGCCTGAATCTGTTATTCAGTGGGACTTAACTAGTTTCAATGATCCTTAATTAAAGCAATCTTATAATTTAATATAAGTAGAGAAATAATATGGAACTCTGCACGAATTTGCATGTCATCCTTGTGCAGGGCCATGCTAATCTCTCTATCATTCCTATTTTAGTGTATGTGCTGCTGAAGCAAGCACTAAAGCAATCTTATTTGAATAACAATCTCCAAAATTGGAACCAATATTGGATCTTTAATGTTCTTTAAATTACAGTCCATCTTGGGCCAAGCTAGCCTCAGATCTGTCTTCCAGTCAAACCTACCATGCTTGCCTCTAATAGCTGTCTGTCAGGGATGGGGAAAGCAGAAATGCCACTTAAGGAAGCTTGCCTCTTTATCAGAGTATATTCCAATAGCAATCCATGTTAGATAGTAATTTCTAAGATCCTCTTTGAAATAAAAGCCTGGTGATTAAGAAATCAAAAGATTCTCCATGATAAGAACTCTTGTTGACCACAAGGCTGAGGAGGCAAAGACACAAGATAAGGCTCTGTAAACACAGCTGTCTGCAAGATCAGTGGTACTATACTCAGAAGAGTCACCTGAAAGCCATAAAGATTAGGATAGTTCTATACCTTTTGCACGCATCTTGAGACACAGGCAGAAATCATAGTTGTGGAGGTACCAGGATGAATTGTCAGGGAATATACAGTAATTGCTACATCTTGAACTGGGGATCCAAGCAATGGTCCTAGACAAGGGAAAAAAATTGTATCATACTATGCTCGGTGTGTATTGAGAAGTAATGAGAAATGCAAAGGAATAGGGAGAAAACACTAACAAAGTTAGGAAAAAGACTGAAATAATCTATAATATAAGGAGTGATTAAATGGTTGAGTGTGATACTAATGCTTACTCTCTCATCTGAGTGCCTTACCTTGGAGGCATGCGCTGTGAATTCCACTTTCAATGGCCTCTTTGGAGACTTTCAAAAGGCCTTCACTGATACTTTCAGCATACTCAATCACTGGCGTAACAGACGATGTTTCAGTTGGCCTTGCTTCCACTTCTACGGTCACCAGATGCCTTTTGTCTCCTAAAGTTCTATCTAATGTATCTGTAAACAAATTGAATATGGTACCTCAGAATTAATTCTGGAAAGGTATCAAGGTGCTATAAAACAGCAAAATTATCATCAACAAGCTCAGGGTCTCATACAAGATAAAGTGGGAGAGAATATTAACAATGGGAATGGCACTAAATACAGTATAAAAATCAGAGTAAAGAGCTCTACCAACAAAGCATCTGCTTCTAT